ATTATTACGGGTGGAGATCTTTTGCTTTAAATTGCAACAATGTCTTTTAAAGGTTAATGTTAGATTCAATGTAACGCCAAGGTAACATGGTGTCTCACAATGTACCAGAGTCACTCCATCCCAGAAAATATCAAGCCTATGTCTGGCCTGCCTGTTTTTAAAATGGAATGCACAGACATTCGTTTTTGATGGATTAGGTTTTAGTCCATTCTTGTTATAGTATTCTAACATATTCTTAAGGGCCAGAGTAAGCCTAACTTCCACCTCCTCGAAGTTGGCTCCCTGAGCAGTGCCAAGTTGTCAGCATAGATGAAAGACAATGTATCAGGACCGACAGGCTGATTAATGGTATATATATTAAATAACGGGGGCAAGAACACTCCCCGGTGGAAGACCATGTCGCTGGGCTCTCCACCGGCTCTTTTTTCCCTGAAAGTCGACGAAAAATCATCGATTTTCGAGTATTGCCTCAATACATTTAGTCAGAGCAAGATCATGTGTGATATTATATAATTTCAAGAGACGTTTTCTGTGATTAACTGTGTCGTAGGCTGCAGATACAGTGGGGCAAAAAAGTATTTAGTCAGCCATCAGTTGTGCAAGTTCTCCCACTTATAGTTGAGGTATACCTATGATGAAAATTACAAGCCTCTCTATAGTTGAGGTATACCTATGATGAAAATTACAAGCCTCTCTATAGTTGAGGTATACCTATGATGAAAATTACAAGCCTCTCTATAGTTGAGGTATACCTATGATGAAAATTACAAGCCTCTCTATAGTTGAGGTATACCTATGATGAAAATTACAAGCCTCTCTATAGTTGAGGTATACCTATGATGAAAATTACAAGCCTCTCTATAGTTGAGGTATACCTATGATGAAAATTACAAGCCTCTCTATAGTTGAGGTATACCTATGATGAAAATTACAAGCCTCTCTATAGTTGAGGTATACCTATGATGAAAATTACAAGCCTCTCTATAGTTGAGGTATACCTATGATGAAAATTACAAGCCTCTCTATAGTTGAGGTATACCTATGATGAAAATTACAAGCCTCTCTATAGTTGAGGTATACCTATGATGAAAATTACAAGCCTCTCTATAGTTGAGGTATACCTATGATGAAAATTACAAGCCTCTCTATAGTTGAGGTATACCTATGATGAAAATTACAAGCCTCTCTCATCTTTTTAAGTGGGAGAACTTGCACAATTGGTGGCTGACTAAATACTTTTTTGCCCCACTGTAAATCCACGAAAGCAACTCCCGTAATTGAAATCCATCCTCTATGTGCTGGACGAGTTTAAGTATCTGGCCTGTGCAGAACTTCCCTGGCCGGAAACCAGCTTGTTGGGGAATGAGAGTTGGTTCAATAATAGGAAACATTCTATTTAATAGAACTCTCTCATAGAGTTTAAAAGGATGGCAAAGGAGGGAAATTGAACGAAAATTCTTTGGGTCATCTGGTTCTTTTCCAGGTTTCAAAAGTGCAATAACCCAGGCTTTCCTCCAAATCTTCAGAATGCAATTTGAAGCCAGCTATAGTACTGAGATGGCATTGTTTGCATTTATGGATGATCCTTGGAGGGCTCGGGATGGGGATACTGCATCCATCCAGGCCTTCATGGATCACTTGGAAGCTTTCAGTAACATTGACTGTGGTATCCTTCTGAACCGCTTACAGGGTTGGGAGTTGGAACACTGTTTTACAATGGTTCTTCTCCTTTCTCTGTGGCCAGTTCCAGTCAGTATTGGTAAAATGGGAGAGGTCTGACTCTAAGCCCCTCCTTATGTATGGTGTCTCAGGGCTCAATCCTCTCATCCCTCCCATTTAACATCTACATGAAGCCTCTGGATGAAGCCATCACTCAGTTGTACATCTCCACCCCAGTTCAGACAAGTTATACTATTCAGGTGCTTACCCAGTGCCTGGAGGCTGTGAGGGTCTGAATGTAAAGGAACTGACTATGACTGGGACTCAACCCTAGCAAGATGGAGTAGGTCTGGAGAGTTGCCATATTTAACTCTTGATGGGTAGCACTCCCCTGGGAAGAGTTGGTATGAAATTTGAGGGTCCTCTTGGACTGGTGGCTTTTACTAAAAGAGCAAGTGGCAGCTGTGGCTAGGGCGACTTTTACATAGATTCATCTTGGGCACCAGTTGCACCCATTGGTGGACTGGGAGGCTCTGCTCATGATTACTTTAATGCCTTAGTCACTTCCCAATTGGACAATTGTAGTGCACTCTATGTTGGGTTGCCCTTGAAGACCACACAGAAGTTACAGCTGGTCAAGAATGTAGTGGGTCACAGAGTTCTGGGCACCCTGCAGTTTGCCCATATTATACCACTGCTGTGCGAGCTGCTCTGGTTCCCAGTTTTCTTCTGGGTGCAATTCAAGGTACTGATTATCACTTTTGAAGCCATATAAAGCACAGATCCTGCTTATTTGCAAGAGCATCTCTCCCTGAGAGTGTCTACCTGTCCCACAGACGAAATAGGGCAGGCACACACTGTTAAATGATGTCATCTGGCAAGACCTAAGAGGTGGGCCTTCTTTGTGGCAGCTCCTGCCCTATGGAATAGCCTCCCCCCTGAGATCCAGAGGGCCCCTACTCTCTTGGCCTTCTGGAAGGCTGAAGGCCCTTAAGACCTGGCTTTTCCCCCAGGCATTAGGCTAGAATGGGAGTGAGTCCAGTGCATGTATATTTGGGATAGGAGTGTTATGATGCCTTGGGTTGTGCAGAGTGCTTTTAATTTTCTTATTTTTTCTTACTTTTGTATGTTGTGAGCCGCCTAGAGTTATGCTATATAAGATGGGCAGCCCTATATCTGTTTTAAATATATAAATAAGAGTCACTTTTAACATTTGAGCAAAATAACCAAACAGTGAAATATGTTTCTGTCTGTCTGTGTCCCTCTGAACCTCAGAGGTTTCTGTGATCCTATTGTACCTTCTCTTAGAATAGATTCCCATTCTTTTGGACAGATGCCGCCTTGTATAGTATAATGTATGTAGTGCCATAAAAGTCCCATTCTACCTGCATTTCCTCTTTTCTTCACCTTAGTGAGTAAGTTCTAGCATAGAAGACATAGAATTTGTTTTGCCTAATGTAAGGTCATTTCTGAGTTAACAGTGCTCAGTGTGATAAAATTGAGCAAGTGATCCTCTATAACTCTGTTGTTCAAAATATTCTTGTATACCAAGGGGTTTTCATGTGATGCATGCTGTTTTATAAACTTATATAAGGCTTGCATTTCCAAGAAGGGGGAGAAAAATTTAAGTTTATGTCTTTCCATTCCTATAGTAGAGAATAAGATTAATTATAACTAGTCACACATGTTTTTCCTTTTCTAGGCAAATACAATCATGCTTTTTTTAAAAAAAAAAATCTATTTTGCAGGTAGATAATTAGATTTTTTAAATTGCATATTTTTCCCAATACCTTCATTTATGCAGTCTGTATTTACTTGCAGTTATTTTATCAGTAAACAAATATAATTACTAGCTTGCTAGCTGTTAGAGAAAAGTGTGAAATACTAGAATTTACTTCAGTGTGGAATACTTGATTGGCAATATATGTTATATAGTATGGTAGGCACTGAAACAAAATAAAAGCTTCGAATAGACAGATGTTCAAATGTGTTTAGCATACTGATGAATTCCACTCTAATAAATCATCTGCATACAACAGAGTTCATTCATTTGTAAGTGTGAATGAAATCTAACCCTTAATTGATTACACATGACTAATCATGTTCTAATACAGAACAAACATCATTTATCAGTACCTCATATTCTCCATACTTTGTTCTGTCCAATCTTCTCTACAATCTACTAGATAAAGTTGTTTTAAGGGTCAGTGAACTTCTTAGTGTGACTTGATTTAGCTATCTGCAACATCAACCACATCTTTTACAATCTGCTTATTCGCTGATGATTGTCCTTGCTTATATTGCCCTTTTTTTGGACAAATTGATTTTCTTAAAGAGATCCGAGATTCAATCTTTAATTTTTTATACATCAGTAATTGCATTATTCTACAATTGATGGCATTCTTACTCTGTACGTCTATCTTGGAATATTTCCTTAAGGGCAGGTAATTACAATCTGTTGACAAAACTTGACACAGAGACAGAAGGAATTAAACATACATAAAGAATGAGTTACTGTCTTATCCACATCTGCCAGCATTCTCAGTCCCAATATCTTCAATTCTCATTCTAGAGAGCAACAATTTTTTTTATCACACTTTAGATACAGATTTATTCTCAGCGATTTCTTTTTCACAGACTTGGTCCTGGCCTCTGATTTCTCCATCCGTTGCTCCACATTCACCATGCGCCTGTCTAGTTTCCCAACTTTTGATGAGAGGTTCTCTACCTTGCCTTCCAGTGAGAACAATGTGTCTTCCAATTGCCCCTGAATTACATGAAGTGACTTCATCAGCTTAAGGGGGAATCTGCTGTGCTGCACTGTGGAGGAGCCCATCGAAGTCATGAAGATAGACAAGATGATGACATCATCTAATGCCAGGGCAGAGAAACAGATGGACTAAGGACATTGTTCTTGTTGTTCAGGGCATAATTTGCTCTAATTTGCACTTGCAGATATGTTGGACAACTTGAATGACACTGCCATCAAAATGACAGTGATGAGCTATCGAGATAGCAGCTTGTCCATGTTCTGTCTCCCACTTTTCTCATCCACTACATTCTTTATCTTGAGTATCATTTGTGTAAAGAAGTGCATCATAAATTTCACATTCAAGTCATTCTGTAACTCGGTAGCAACCCTCAGCAGTACTGAAGAGTGGAAAACCTAACTCTTCATGGTGTGTGTTTATATGTACATTAATCCAAATTACCGTACTCTTTCTTCTAAAGAAATATTAGAATGCTAGAATAGGACTTCAGTTGTACTTTACATGGGGGGGAGGGGAATGTTTGCATTCATTATATTTTTCTAGCAAGAAGTAATTATGAGTGTGTGCATGCTTCTCACAATAATGGATATACAAGATAACCTGTGTAAGAACAGAAACTTACATTGTTTTTGCATGATATAGCTTTGTACTATTCCATTTTACTCATATCTGGTATGTAGTTCATTGTAAGTGCCAATTTTCTCAATTCTGCCTAATTTGGGTAGAATATAACAGCAAAAAGGGTGTTTCATGACTATGAAATGCCTGCATATTTGGGAGAAATAATGACTAAAAAAAAGTTAGATTATATAAAGTCATACATGTGCTGTTGACTATCAAAGGAAATAATTGAAACAGTTTCTTTCTTACTAGTCTACTTGAGTAGATTGTGTATTGCATATGAAACTGCCATATTTTTGAACTTCTATTTTAATAAGAGATAACTAGGTGTATTTTTCATTTTCATTAAAAAAATGAAAAGTCAAGCACATTGGATTAATGTGTATATTTAAAGAATATGCAAATTTTTCAGTTCAAAAGTGGAAAGAGTTTTTCACATTTCAGGAAGAAAATCATAGTTTATTATATCAAACTCTACACATTATTTGCTATAACAACACAATCCTTTGCGTATTTGTTTAGGAATAGGTCTAGTTAAATGCTAGGAGGTTTACATCTACATTAATGTAAAATATTGCAGATTAATTTATATAACCAGGCTTAAAAATAAGTAGATTTATAAACACTTCTTTCTTAACAATAGCTAAGATAGTAACAGTTTGAATCCTCCATAGAAAAACAAATGTGGAAAATTTAAAGTGCAGCATGGCTTGGCTTCCTAGCCAGAATAGAAGCTTATTGGTTTGCAGAGTTAACTGACAGAATTTTGCCTGGATTTAGCCAGCATCAGCATGCAAAAGATTCCTTAAGTAATAAATAGCTATGTCTAATAGTATTTGCAAGGGCATTTGCTGTCAAGCATATCTTCTGAATTTCCTAGAGTGAGACCTACTAAGCTGCAACAATACAGTATATTAAATATGAAGACCAGTATCAAAAACCATTAAATTGATCTGCACTCTGAAATCTGTATTTTGTTGGGTGCTGGTTTGGTGTATAGGCCTGTAAATTTACTGGAAGGAAGGAAGGAAGGAAGGAAGGAAGGAAGGAAGGAAGGAAGGAAGGAAGGCAGGAAGGAAGGAAGGAAGGCAGGAAGGAAGGAAGGAAGGCAGGAAGGAAGGAAGGAAGGCAGGAAGGAAGGAAGGAAGGCAGGAAGGAAGGAAGGAAGGCAGGAAGGAAGGAAGGAAGGCAGGAAGGAAGGAAGGAAGGCAGGAAGGAAGGAAGGAAGGAAGGAAGGAAGGAAGGAAGGAAGGAAGGAAGGATGGATCTATGTATCAACCATCAGCGAGGAACAGTTTTAAAGTACATTATGATTATACCTTATGTAGATTTCTACATACTCTAAAATAATCTTTCTCTTAAGTAACTTTTAATGATTATTGTAAATGAAATTCAATTTTAAAACATAAATAATAACCTAATAAAATTATTTTTCAAATAGAAATTGATGATGCTGACTCAACAGATGATGATAATCAAGATTCTACTGAACCGAATAGAACTGATTTTGGTATTTCTGTGTCATCAATGGCAGAAATTGCATCTTGCAGTTATGAAGCCAGGTAAGAGAAATTTATTTCTTGTCAGTTGGAGGTTGCAAAATACAGATTTTCTCTTTACATAGATATGTATCTTTCTCACATATGACAGCAGAAAAAAGCAGAAGTGGAAATAATTTTTAAATATTATATATGACTGACTGACTGACTGACTGACTGACTGACTGACTGATTATATAAATCCTGTCTTTTCTCCAGGCACGCAGGCAACTACACCGCACTCCTGTCTCCAGTTTTATCCCTACAGCAACCATTTGAGGCTGACTAGGCTGAGAAAGATTGGTTCAAAGTCACCCTCTCTGAGCCCAACCTACCTCACGGGGTGGTTGCTGTGAGGATAAAGTTAAAAACTTCTGCAATCCTTTATGGAATTACGGTTATTTCTTGCTCCACATGTATGTTTTTCTTTTTTGTTTTTATATTAGTTTTATAAGCTTGCAGACAAGACTTTGATTTTTTTAACTAGTTGTATTATAATACTGTTGTTTTTGTTAATGATGTATTTGGGAGCATATGTAAAACCATCTTTATTCCCCTCCCTCTCCCAGCATAATAATCTAAAACTCTTTACAGGTAGTCGCCCAGTTTAAGATGAGTTCCATTCCCAAGGTCTGTCCTTAAGTCGAATTTGTATATAAGCTGGAACAATATTATTGTATAATACTGTATAAGCAATATTGTGTAATTTACTTGAACGATTGTGTATTTAACTCGAATCATTGTGCATTTAATCACATTTTGCTACAGTAGGCTTCATTCTTAACTATGGGTCGTCCGTAAACCGGGCGTTCTTAAGCCGGGGACTACCTTGAGACAGCAATAAAAAAGAAACAAGTGCAAAAAAAATTTAAATTATAAACAACTGTGCAAGTTTGATACTATTTTTATGACATAAACATCATAAGTAGTCCTTGTTTAGCGACAGTTGGGATCAGCAACTCGGTCGTTAAGCAAAGCAATCACTAAGTGAAATCGCGACCGTGTTTATGATCTTACATCAGCTTTCCTTTGCTTTACAGACCTCCAAAGGTCGTAAATGTGAGGATTGGTCACAAAGTTACTTTTTTATTGCCATCGTAACTGCGTATGGTCGCTAAACGAGGCAGCCACTAAACGAGGACTACCTGTATATCATATCCTTCTATATATATAAAATAGCTAAAACACTAAAACCCTGTTTTAGAGCTTTATGACACACTAAAAACATTGGAAAAGAGAGATATTGTTGATTAGCTTTTTGAAGATTTGTTTTAAAACTGATTCCAATCAAGCTTAAGGTTGTATTTGCATTGGTAATCATGTCTGAAGCATCTTAACCTAAATTGTACAGTAGTAAATGAGTTCAACTGTGGGTAAAGGGGACATACTGTGCAGTCCAGCATATTTGTATGAAGACCTAAGCTTTTGCTGTGCAAGTTACAATGTGAATATAGCATTTCATGAGCTGAGATGTAGATTTGCCGCTACATTGTGCAACATAAATAATTGAATTTAAAAAACTAGTGTGAAATAGTATCTTAACTCCTTAATAAGGTTCATGTAAGGATAATTTCAACTTGATTAATTGATGATTTTGAACCCTAGGGTATTGTTGTTTTTCATTTAGGCAAGTTGGTATAAAGAATGGAATGTTTTTTGGACAAGCAAAAGAGTTGTGCCCAAATCTTCAAGCTGTTCCCTATGACTTTCAAGCATACAAAGAAGTTGCACAAACTATGTATGAAACATTGGCAAGGTAAATATTGTTATATTATACAAGTTGGGAAAATAATTTATTTTAGACAAAGAATAGCTCCAAAGAAGCTTTTCTTGTGGAATTGTACTGATTGCTTTTTAACACAGTTTGATAAGAGTGTCCTGACAATATTATGTGCTGTTTATTTTGTTATTTTACTTAGGAATTTATTAACCGCTTCTCTTCAGCAATGTACAAAACTTGCTTGAAATCTTCCCATATTTTTCTACCACTATTTATCTTTTTTCTCTAACCTCCCCTATCCCATAAAAGCCACCCGAGCATTTCTGAATAACAACCATTCCAAGATCAGATTACCTTTTAATCTTAGCAAAATAGAAATTGCCCTACAAGCAGAATAAAGAAATCAAATTAACATAATCGTTTTAAGCCAGCTTAGTTAAAACCAAGCTCCATTGTTCCACCTTCCAGCTGGGGCTTTTATTGGTGTCTGCGGAACCTGATCAGATGCAAAACATGTGAAGCCTACATAAATAAGATTTTTCCTTACGGAATGTGGTGCGTGCTGTGGCTACTGCCACTTCACAATACAGCATCTCATACCAATATTTCAAAATCCTTCCAATTTATATAGTTTTAACAGGTCAACGGTCTGTTTTAAAATATTTGAAAACACAGCAACTCAGGGAGGAATTCACAAAAGTGGCTGATTAATTTGAAAAACAAGATAGTCCTTGCTCTCATGCTTCTTACAGTCATGCTTACAAGAAAAAGGAATGGAGAAGGAGGAACAAAAAGCAAACCCAGATACTACTTGGAAAGTAGTCTGGGGAATCGAGAGGGAAAAGAATTGCACAATTGCACAGAAGTAATTTTAGAAAAGAAAATAATACTAAGCATATATTTTTCTGCATATTATATAGTCTTATATCTTAAATATCTAAAAATATTCATTTTTTTTCCCAAAAACAGGAAAGCTTTACTTTCTATTTGTTTGTTGGTTTTTGACTGTAAAATCAATATATAGTAATATTAAATATGTTTGATTTTGAAGAGTAGAGTTGTTCCCACTGCTTCCTTTACTTCTTTTACTTTGCGTTGATAGCTATACTCATACCATTGAAGCTGTCAGTTGTGATGAAGCGCTGGTAGATACCACTGAAATCCTTGCAGAGACTGGGTTGACATCAGATGAGCTAGCAAATATTATTCGCACAGAAATTAAAAACAAGACCAAATGTCCTGCTTCTATTGGAATAGGTTAGTATATTGTTCAGAAATGTTTTATGTGTAAGTAAAGTAAATTATTAAATAAGTAAAAGCAAAACTTTACTTCCATAAAGTGTATTCATTAATCACGGAATTAAAGTAATGTTATGATTAGATATTAATGTGTGCTACATCTAGTTAATTTTTCTTGTTTTCTCCCTCCTTCATTTCAAGAAGATAATAAATAGAAGCTAAATACATGTTCTCTTATAGGCTTTTATATATTACCAACTGAGCACTGCCTCCTTTTTTGGTATTTTTCACATATAAAGGGATACAGTAGAAACAGTTGTTTTGTTTGTGCATCTGACTTCCATATATTCGGCTTAGCAAGATTGTATATTGTATGCTCCATCAGAGGAAAACAGTAATGTGCAAGTGAAGGAGTTCACTCTCAAAGGAATTTTAAGATATCTTTTGAGCTACAGAAGTTGTGAAGCAAAAAATAATGGATGCTGACCCTAATCTCGATTGAAGCATGCAAATTCGCTGAGATGTGGGCAAAACACTCTACATCTATCAGCATATGTATGAAGATTTAAAGAAAGAGAAAACAGTTCTGTCTATGCTGCTAAAATATTTGAGAGACAATAAATATGGTTTTGTCAGTGTAAGCTTACCGTTAGGAGTGATATTTAGAATTTTTTTGTTTTTTGTTTTGCTTTCTGTAACTGTGACTTTGTTAAATACAAATTTAAATTTAAGTATATTCTTTTTATCATTTACAGTAATATTTCATTAACGTACATATAAAAATAATGTTTAAAAATTTTTATTGCCTGTTTCCATCAAGCTGCAACAATTACCATATAACAATAGAAGTATCATTTTGAACAGTGTGAATTCGAATAATGTGACCCTTTCATGGGATTCATTAACCCACTAATTGAGACCTACCTGTATACATTTCCACTGAAGGATGTGATGATGGCATTACACTGTAGTTTTGCAGGAAATCTTTTTCCCAATAACTGCATCCTTAGTTGTAGTTTGCAATGTAAAATATTTCTGTGTCTGTATAGTAGTCAGGTGAAGTAAAAATTATGTGTTCTTATTATATAATCAGGAAAAATACAAGGTGAGCAGTTTGTTGTCATGGGGATTCTGAGACAAACTAGAACCTGACAAGAGGATTAAGATTAGGTTTTTCTGAAAAGGTTACCTGTAAAATCTATTAGAGGATTCTTCATATAGGTGACATGAGGCAGGTAAGACTAGAAAAACAGCCTGCTTCCAAATCCTACAAAGTTCCACCACTGCAAAACACAAAGCAGAAGAAAATTGATTCAGCTGCCCAAGGGGATGACTCCCTGAGAATAGAGTGGCCATGCTGCTGCATAGCATTTGTCCTGCACTGGAAAAAATGCCATGTAAAGGTGCCTACACAGAAGTTCATGTATCAGGTATCTTTTCTCACTCCCCTTCCCCCGTTCATAGTAGCTCCTAAAAACTCTTGTTCCTTTAGACATTATATATCTACTAAAAATGAATTATACTAAAAAGCATCATCAGATCTGGATCTAAAAATCATTACTGTTGGCACTGTAATAGCTAAGATAATAATCACTGATGGACTTGAACTATAATTCTACTTAGGCTGATGAATAAAACAATCTTCCCTAGTCTCCTTATGGCATATGACTAGGAGTATATATTATAAAGAGTCCTGCCTTATTTTCTTCTATAATACAGGGAAGATATTGAATGGTGAAATACTGCTTAAAAGCAATATTGAACTTTTATAGGTTCAAATATTTTACTGGCCAGACTGGCAACTCGCCGAGCTAAGCCTGATGGGCAGTATCATTTAAAACCTGAAGAAGTAGATGACTTTATCAGAAGCCAGCTAATTATCCATCTTCCAGGTAACTTTTTTCTAATATATTCCTTCTTGGTTTTGTTCAGAAGTATTTATCATAGTTGCTGTAGCCCTACTTTACAAAAGTAATGGGTCATTAACAAATCAAAGTAGTTATTTTCTTTATGATGAAGGTAAAGTAACATAGCATTATCCAAAGGTTAAATAGCAACCTGATACACTGCATTACATTAGTCACAGATGTTGCATCCTGAGATTATGAAATGTTAATCCTCTTTTTAATAAAATGAACAAAACAGCAAAAAAAATAGTATTCTGTCAAAAGGAGTGTAGACAAAAATAAATGTTCAGTTGGATGTTTGATTATGTGCCATCAAGTTGTTTTTGACTACTAGTGATCACATAGATTTTTCTATGATGATCTATCCCTAACCTGTTCTTTCAAGTCTCTCAATGGTGCACTCATCACCACCGTAACTGAGTCCATTCACCTTGCTGCTGGTCGTCCTCTCTTTCTTTCCACCTTTCCCAGCAGTAGTATCAGATTCAGCTCAAAGAACTCCAAGAGACAATGCAAATACAGTTCTGTTGCATTTATTAGCTTCAACCTCCAGACAGAAATCTCCCCAGACTCAACCCTAGTTCCCAAGCCAGCCAGCCACAACACTGTGAATTCCTTAGGGAGGTACATCTTCTTGAACTTCCAACGCTCCTGCTGGGGGCTAAGAACACGCTTATCTCCCTGAGCCTGGCCTTCATAAGTCCATTCCATCACAAGTAGAGCCTTTTCCAGAGAGCTGGGTCTTCACATAATGTATCCAAAGTAGGATAATTTGAGCCTGGCTGTGGCCAGTTATAAAAGTAATTTAGTCAATATTATTGTGTATTCTTATTTTAGATGTGATGTGTAACATTTCTGTATAGTTGTAGACAACATTCTCTCAGATGTGAATTTACCATCACATCTATTTTATAACGTTTTAATTATTTAAATAGTGTAACAATGATTAAGTGAATAAATTTCTGTTGTAGAATTCTAATACAAAATATATTTTTTATTATTTAAAAGTTATTTTATAACTTGTTATTTTGGGGGCCAGGAGTTGGAAGAACAATGGAATCTAAGTTGTCATCTATGGGCATAAAAACTTGTGGAGATCTACAGTGTGTCACAATGTCAAAGCTTCAGAAAGAGTTTGGACCAAAAACAGGACAAATGCTCTACAGGTTCTGCCGTGGTTTGGATGATAGGCCTGTTCAAAGAGAGAAAACAAGAAAATCTGTTTCAGCTGAGATCAATTATGGTATAAGATTTACACAGGTAAAAAAATTAAGTCAAATTTAAGTAAAACATTAATCATTGTCTCAAAATGATCCATAAGATCTCATTTTACTAGACCGTAATTTCTTTGTTCGAATTCCTTATTAATATTAGAATGTGTTTTTTATATGAATGAGCAATAACATGGATGAGCTTTAGGTAATGTGGCCTTCCAAACTCCATAGGAGTCTTAGAATTTGTTGAAAATTCATTAGAAGCTTTTTTCTTTAGAAGTCAATAGAGCAGTTCCTATGCATGTCTACCCATAAAAACCATTGCATGATCATTGAAGGATTTACTCCCAGGTATGTGTATGTGTAGCCTAATAATAGAGAATCTTCTGAGAAAAACAGCAACAGTTATTGGCCCTCCTTGTAATCTCTTAGCATGGAAGAATGTTGAGTGCACTCATAGTCCATGTTCTTCAGGTCTCATAATTTATATATGCACTCTATAGTATTCAAGTCAATACATCTTTAAAATAAAAAGCATGAAAATTAATAGCTAAACTAACTCAAAACTAATTTTGTAAATTGATATATGATTCACAAATTATGTGGAATAATGTCAATACTTATATTATTCATATCTAAAATAAAAAATAATAATTTTGTAATACAAAGAATGTGAAAACAAAACTTGACAAAATATACAAAAGTGGTACCATTTTCCAGTAATTCAAAAATCATCATTATTTGTTTCAGATTCAGAAACTATTTATAGGCATTTCTATCCATGCAGCATTGCTTCTCTTTTATATGTATGTACCATGAGAGCTGGTGCTGTGTGATAAGAACATGGTAGTCCCCACTTCAGATCCTATGTCAGTCTGATATTTATGAGTTTATGACTTTATTTTAGTCTGAAATGTCTGCATCCTGTTTATATTAATTTGTATATTCATTCTGTTGTAAAGATGCTTGAAGTAATGTATACAAAGTGCATTGAATGCTCAAAAAGAGCAATATAAGCACTAAATAATATATTCATGAGGGATGGCTAATAGCTATTCAGTTCAGGTAGAACATTTATAGAAATCTGTAGAACGGGTTCATTTCCAAATTAAATAGTTCATTTCATTTGAACATTTCTGAATACAAAATTACATGAAATTTCCCACTGTACTAAAAGCTCTGTTTTGAGTACAAAATGGGTTGTTGTGAGCATTTTGGAACCATTCTGAGATTGAAATAGCATTACAGCTGAGTTTTCAAGATTGAAATGCTTTGAAAATGCTCAAAACAGCTTGTTTCAAGTTCAGAGAAGGAATTTCACACTTAGGATGGGACATTTTGTGAAATTTCAAACTTGCATTGTCTTACATACCTGTAGTCAGTTGTTAAATGGCATCACTTGTTGAGGATTTTTAAGTGAAGTCTGTGTTAATACTTACATTAGAAAATATGAGACATTGGATAGAAAATAAATCCATACTAGGTGAAGAACAAGTGAATTTAGAGCAAGCACTTCCCAATAGATCATGGAAACGTTCTTCAACAATAAAAGCCCTATTTGATGCTTTTGTAGGTATCAGAAATGCCTTCAGTTCTATTTATAGGGGCAGGCTCTGGGAGAAACTTGCTTGCTTAGTACTTACTTACTTAGCAAATTTATTGATTTAGCAAATTTATATAGCTGCCCATCTCACAGAACCTGATTCTGGGCAGCATGCAATACATTAAAAACAATAAAAACCATAAAATACTCATAAATTAAAAAAACAGAAAATAGAAAAACCCAAAATAGCAAGAGAACAACCATCACTTAACATCACCCAACCACCTTGCTGGCTCCCCATAGGACCTCCAGGGTTGATGGAAAAACCACATTTTGAGGGCTTTCAGAAGGCAAGCAGGGATGGGACCAATCTCACCTCAGGAGAAATGATGTTCCAGAGGGCTGGGGCCATAGCAGAAAAGGCACGTCATCTGGGTCCCGCCAGATGGAACGCCTTAGTAGACAGGACCCACAGCATACCCCTCCTGCTCAAACTGATGGGATGGGTAGATGTAACCAGGAAGAGGCGGTCCCTCAAATAACCTGGTCCCATGTCATCTAGGGCTTTAAAGGTCAAAAGCAGCACCTTGAATTGGACTCGGAAGCAAACTGGTAACCAGTGCAGCTCATGGAACAGAAGTGTAACATGCACCAACTTGAGACTATTAACATTGATAAACAGCTGTTACTGCTTTTTAACAGTCAACACCTAATTGAGAGTTAGATATATCGCAAAAGTATTGCTTTCCATTCAATTCTGGGCTAGGAGAATTCTGTTCTAGAAGTGGCCAAGAGGATTGAAGAAGTTCTGTTCCAAAATGAGTTAATTCAAACCACAAGGATCTGCTGTCTTCTCAGAAGAATTCAGAGGCTCTTCCTTAACAAAATCTTTATTGTCTCAAAGTATCAGTGGGCCTTCTCTAATGGCTATCTCAGTGGTCTCCCTTCCTTAATTTTGGAGGGCAAGTTCAATAAAATCCAGTTATCTCAGATGTCGTGGTCACATGCATCAGGAGCAAATGCATCCTTAGAGCAGATCTTTCTATAATATGTGTTTAGTTTTGCACTGTAGGCTCCCCCAGGCTTTGTTTAAAAAATTGCCCAGCCAAACAGATGGATTTTGTTCTCATTACTTTTTCAACAGATAGAAACTCCAAAACTAACTATCTAAACACAAAACATTGTTCTTTAGCAATAAGAGTGTGTCTTATTAAAGTTAGTGCCATGGGACAAGAATGGCTTAGCCATGATATTGGCAACTATGTATAGCTATGTAATCATTTTATTGTTATGTTTATTTGCTTTGTTTGAATTCTGATCTATGACCATAATACTGTAGTTTGTTGTTCTTATTGTTTATATTTATGAATGTATTTATTTAGCTTACAGTGCATTTGGAAAGTATTCAGACCCCCT